CCCCCAGCACGGCAGCGGACTGCCCCAGCTTTCACTCTGGGCTCTCGCCTCCGACAGAAGCCCCCAGACACCGCTGCTCCTGCTCCCAATGCCTACAACATGCCACCCCTGTGGGGATCACAGATCTTTATCAAACCTAGTAGTCCCAGCTACACAGTTGTGGGCCGCACACTGCCCGCACGTCGTTCTCAGGATCCTTCCGAGACTCCAGGCCCTGGGCAGTATGAGAGTCCTGACCCCAACACCTACCGGCAGCGTAGGCCGGCCTTCAGCATACTGGGGAGACCCCGGACACTACGGCCCCTGGAGGACACACCTGGTCCTGGTACCCATAACCCAGAACAGGTCACTATTAACCGGACCCGGGCCCCAGCATATACCATGGGCATCCGTCACTCAAAGCGGGCATCCACCATGGTAGGGGACACCAAATGCTGACAGCTGCAAGGCACAGGCAGCTGGGGCCCCTCCTGGTCTTCCTTTCCTCAGAGTGTAACAGAGGAGGTGCCTCTCCCTCCCCTTCTGCAGTTCGAGGTCCTTTGAGGCCACCTGATCTTTCTGTCCCTGGGGCCTGTGACCCAAGGCTCCATACAGGGTGAAGGCGAGCCTCCTTCCAGGGCCCCAGCTTCTTTTCCCAGGTCAGACCAGGCCAGGGAGAAGTGTCCCTTTCCCTGGCTGGACAGGGAGCTGTGTGTCCTAGAATTCAGTGTCCAGGCCACTTGGGTTTCTGCAGATGAGGCTGGAGAAGTGTCCTGGAGGTAGCCCTGTCGCCTCTGCCCCTCACCCCACCCTCTAGAGTTGCTCGCCAATAAATCATTCCTCCATCAACAGATATTAGCATTGTGCACACTGGTTTATTTAGCACTTCTAACCACGCTGCAAAGAAAACACTAAACAACTCTGCAAACCTCATTCAGTTCAGATGGGGCAAATAGGGGACCCTGGCAGCAGGAGGCCAGAGACCGAGGCTGAGTTTGGATCGCAAAACCAGTTAGGTTCTTGGGAAGGAATACTGTGAAGCTGGGCTTTGAGGGATGTGTAGGAGTTTATTAGAGTATTATTTACTGCCATTTGTGCCATAAATTAAAGAGTAGAGCCAGCCCGACAACCTCCCCATTCAGTAGAGGAGCACACGTGATGTGCACCCAGATCCGGAATGCCGTGGTCCACACTTACACAGCTAGATCCCACAGCCCTTTCTCAGTCTTCAGCCCAGTGGCGCTCCTTCTCCAGCCGACAGCACCAAAGGCGACCTGGCTGGGCTCCTGAGTGTGCCTGTGCTGAGAAGCCCGGTGCGCGCACACCCGCTCCCTTCCCCCTCCCCCCCTCTGCAGACAGTGATCTAGTTTCTCTCGGCATCGATCTTGCCGGCCTTGCCCCTCCTCCGCACCCTGCCCCGCCCAGCCTTCTTGTCTTTGTTTCCTGGCAGGGCTGTCTCGGATAGGGTGGGGGACAGAGGCAGGGTGATGATGACAACCCCTTCCCTCACTGAAAGAATCCCCTTGGGGTCTGAGAAGGCATCTCTGAGGTCTCTTGAGCCTGGACTGGGACTGGTGGCACGCCTGTGAGTTCTGATCCTCAGGTTCCAATACAATCCCGAGACCGTAGCCTTTAGACCAGACGCAGCCCCACCCGTGGAGTCCTGGGCACTTGCTTCACTTCCAGGCCTCAGTTTCCCTTTAAGCCTTGCTCCGGGACTCAGTTTTCCCACTAACCAGTAAAGTAGATTCAGTTGGAGGGGGGTGGAGGGACCCCTCTGAGTTTGACGTTCTCTTGTCCTGGACCCTAGCCTCTGCCTTGCCCCAGGCCCTACTTGGACCCTGTTTAGAAGTAAAGTTGGGCAGGATATGACTGAAAGTGTCAAGGACGCGGACAGTCTCATCTTGCTTCTACCACGGAGTTCTCAAGTCCCCTATTGTCCTCGCCCTCGCCCTCGGTTTCCTCACTGAGCTGCTGCTCTACCCGGGCTTCAGTTTCCCTGTTCAGTAAAGCAAACATGGTGGAACAGTGGATGAGTGGGATAATTTAGGGGCCGGAGGATGCTGTCTCATCATAGCTCTACAAAGCCGGGCCTCAGTTTCCCAATTTAGAAGAAGGGCAGGATGTTGCTGGAACCGTGGAGAAGGATGACTTCGGGGTTAGAGGATCACTCCCTGCATCTGGGACTCCAGGCCTCAGTTTCTCCATTTACAAGAAAAGAAAGGAGGATAGGATGCTGCTGGAGCAGAGGCGAAGAGTGACTTGTTGGAGAATCGCGCCCCGCCCCGTGTCTGCGACCCCTGGCCTCAGTTTCCCCATAGGGCAGTGTCTGACTGGACAGCTCCTCGGGGAGCCCCGGCAGGCTGCGCCAGGTCAGGGGCGGCGCTGCCAGAACAGGGTCGGGGTCCCAGGAGCGTAGCCCCCCGCGGCTGCGCGCTGCGCGGAGCGGTGACATCACTCGGCGGGGAGGAGCGCACGGCTCCGGGCCAGGCTCAGCCTGGGCTCCTCGGCGGCCGCGGCCATGACGCAGGGTCCGGGTGGCCGCGCGGCCCCGGAGCCCGAGGCGCCCACCACCTTCTGCGCGCTGCTGCCGCGTATGCCGCAGTGGAAGTTCGTGGCGCCGGGTAGCTTCTTGGGCCGCGGTCCCGCGGCAGCAGCGCGCGTGGCGGGGGCAGCAGAGGCACAGCCCGAGCCCGGGGTCCCCGCGTTGGCCGCTGTGCTGGGCGCCTGCGAACCGCGCTGCGCCGCGCCCTGTCCGCTGCCCGCGCTCGGCCGCTGCCGGGGCTCGGGGACGCGAGGCGCGCGGGTGACTCCGGATGTCGCCGACGAGTGGGTGCGCAAGGGAGGCTTTATTCACAAGCCGGCGCACGGCTGGCTGCACCCCGATGCCAGGGTCCTGGGGCCCGGGGTCTCTTACATCGTTCGGGTGAGTGCGCCCAGCCTCCTTCCCGGTGCGCCGGGGTCGGGGACCGCCCCCACCCCAAGTCTGGTCTCTCGGACCCCAAGAACCAAGTGAGCGCTCCCCACCACCCAGGAACCCGGTCTCCAGTACGCGTGCTTCTCGGCCGCCCCCACTCGCAGGCGCTGGGGTCCGGGTTCCCACGGCGTCACGTGGGGAGAGGCGGGGAGAGGGCGCAGGTGGGGAGGGGACACACGCATGCGCAGGCCAGCTCCCCCACCCCCCGCTGTTGCTTGGGAGAGTCCTTAAGGTGAGGACTAGGTCGCCGAGGGCCCTCTCACCCCTGAGAAAGCGACTTTGCAGCGATATAGTGCAGATTCAAGTTCAGGGCTCAGGGTTCCAGATTCCACAGCAGAGCGGGTGAAGCGAAGGGGCCTGGCTATGTTTATCCTCTTTATTGTGGCAGAGGTGGAAGGGAGAGGGATTTGGCGAGAGATTTCGATCTCCTGCTGCAGGCTATCATTCTGCCTTATCAACCTCCCCAAACATTGGGATGTTAGATGTGTGTCACCACTTCCAGACCTTTATTCTTTGTTTTGTTTTTGAAACAGAGTCTTATGTAGCTCAGACTGGCCTAGACGTCACTGTGTAGCTAAGGATAACCTTGCATTTCTGATTCGCCTGCCTCCACTTTTCAAGAGCCAGGGTGACAGTCATGCACCACCACACCCTGTCTTTATGTTGCTGGGGATGGAGCTCAGTCCTATTCATGCTAGGCGAGCTGTGTGTCTGCTGAGTGCCAGCCACAAACCCTACCCAGGGTTTTATAGTGACCTTTGCAAGGGATGAGCTGTGGGAGATGGTCTACCTACCACGTGTTCTCAAGTCACGGGGGACATTTTATCTTCTCCGCTCCAAGCATCTCCCCTGTGTGTGCAGTGTGATCAGTGGCTTGAAGGTAAGCTGGTGTGTGATGCTCACCTTAGACGCGCTAGTCTGGCTTCCTGCACACCACTGGTAATGAGATGACAAGTGATCTCAGAATGCTGTCTGTTGGATGTCCCGACCAGGATGCTGAGAGGGAGTCTCTGTGTGTGCCCTCGTTTTCCCCACCAGGGTCCAGCATGTCACTTCTCCCTTCCCCGGGCTCTGTTGCGTCTCCTTTATTTTTTTTGTCGTGGGGATCTACAAATAGGACCTTATTTGGAAGTGAATTTAGTGGGGCACACCTGTAGTCCTAGAATTCAGGAGGCTGGAGCAGGAGGATTGCCAATAGTTTAGGCCAGCCTGGGCTACATAGCCAGACCCATCTCAGAAGGCGTGGTGGTGCACTTGGAAAGCCAAGGATTTGTATGAGTTTGAGGCCAACCTGGTCTACATAGCAAGTTCCAGATCCATCTATAAACAGTCAAACACACAAAAAAGAAAGACAAAACCAGCCAAACAAACAAAAGGGGAAATATGTATAGTGACAATTTTGGTTTCTTTAAAAATACAGAAATATTATAAGACTGTGCTTCTGTTTTAATGCCAGGTGTGGGCTGTAGGGCTGCATTGGACGTCTGCAGCAGCTGACTGCGATTTGCCTCGGGCTCTAGCTGAGATGTGGTTTTGCCAGTTTGCAGATAGTTTCTTCGATTGTACAATGCTTGGGACTCTGGGAACTTTTCAGAGGGTGCATAAATGCTAGGTCCCGTGGGGCTGGGTTGATGGTCGTCGGTGGTTCATGGGGGCTGGCTGCGGTTTAGATTCAGGGCTCTCTCTCTCTCTCTCTCTCTCTCTCTCTCTCTCTCTCTCTCTCTCTCTCCTATCTTGTTATAGGGGATGGAATGCAGTGGGAGGGTAAAGGGTGGGAAAAAGAAGAATGCACAAAGTAGCAAAAAGCATTTACAAGTAGGTTTGTTGTAGGTGTAATGAATTCAGATGAGGTTGTACAGGAGCAGGGTGAGTCGTCTTACAATGATTGAGACATAAAAGCCAAGGCACAAGTGGGGCCAGGAATGGTGACACACACTTGTCATCCCAGTATTGGGAAGATGGAGGCAGGGGGATTAAGAATTCAAGGTTATCTTTGGCTAGAGGTGAGTTTGAGGGCTATTCGAGACATTGTCTCAAGACAAAACAGAACAGCTAAGAGAAGTAGAGGCTGGAACAATAGACAAGCTACAGGCCAAGGGCCACTCTGAGAACCCTCAGAGAAGGGGACCCTCTGTGGCTCCTCAGAGGGAGAGTGCTGTCTGTACAGAGCAACTCCTGCTGTGTTCTGTCCCTCTTTGTCTATGGTACTTTGTTGCAGAAGCCCTGATAACTGATAACCCTCTGGCACTGCTGCCTTGACACTGAATGCTCTGGGTGATTGCCTGGGTTGTGACTCTGTGCAATGTCCGCCCGTTAGATCGTCTGTAGCTTCTTGGTCCCTGTGCATACAGGATCTGGGTGTTCTCTGTCGATGACACTCACATTCTGGGTCTAGCTTATGTCCCCTTTCTCCTGTGTCCTGATGGTTTGGTATTTCTGGGTTCTGGTGTCACACTGTGTGTGAGTCCCCAGTCCCTCCAGGTCCCTGTCCTGTCTGGTGGAGACATGTTGAGAATCCAGATACTGTCATTACTGGGGCTCCAGATGTTGAGGTGTAAGCAATGTGGTGTTTGGACCAGCCACTGTGGAGTACTGACCTTGTGGAGAACATGGGAAATCTTTGGTCCCTGCCTAAAATCCAAGGCGTCAGTTGTAGTGGGAGAAACAGACAGTAAATATACAGGGAGATAGCCCATGGGAAGACTACAGGTCCTGACAGGTCAGGGATGCTAAGATAGTGAGACATTTGTACGGGGTTGAAAGGTCTCCCTCCAAATTCATGCCCGCCTGGGACTCCAGAACGCAGCCACACTGGGGAGTGTCTCTGCAGTTGTGGTCAGCGGAGACAGGCTTGGACTAGGAAAGGTTAAGTTCCAAATCTGATGACTGCTGTCCTTAGAAATCCCATAGGGTCAGGCAGTGGTGGCGCACGCCTTTAGTCCCAGCACTTGGGAGGCAGAGGCAGGTGGATTTCTGAGTTCAAGGCCAGCCTGGTCTACAGAGTGAGTTCCAGGACAGCCAGGGCTATACAGAGAAACCCTGTCTCGAAAAACAAACAAAACAAAACAAAACAAAACAAAACAAAACAAAACAAAACAAAACAAAACAACAAGAAATCCCATAGGACGACAGGGAAAGAGACTGCAACAGTTCAGCAGAATGAGCGGTGTAGCCACAAACCAAGGGACTCAGAGGACTGTGGCCACTGGATGCCTAGGAGAGGCAGGAGGGCCTCTGTGAAGCCTCCAAAGGCAGCTCAATCCCAGCAGACCTGGGTCCTGGTCTTTGGACACTAGAATGTGGATGGAACTGTTTCTGGTGTTCTAAGTCCTATCCTAGTGGAAATTGTCATATTGTCCCTGGAGACCTACTCTTTGGCAGTCCTTGGCTAGCTCCTCTGCTGGTGGCTGTGGTCCTGGAGAAAGGGCTTCATTTCCTGTGGGCCATGTTCATGGCGCTTTCCCTGGCTGACCAGCCAGAACAGGGCCTTGTGGCTCTGCAACCACTGCCTGGGGCTCTTGCACTTTGTGTCCTGAGGCATGGCAGTGATTGTGTGATGTGGTTGCTTGCTCTGTCCCCTGTAGCATGGTGCTCCTCCCCCTCAGTGTGCATGCATGCGTGCGTGCGTGTGTTTGTGCTCACCAATTGGGTGAGGCTGGTCAGCAAGCAAGTCCTAGGAATGGTTCTGTCTCTGTGTCTCCAACAGTGGGATTATCAGTGTGTACTACAATGCCCCACTTTTTATGTGGGTGCTGGGGATTTGAACTCAGGTCCTCATGCTTGCATGGCAAGCACATTACTCACTGAGCCATCAGCTCCCTAGGTCCCTGAAGCACTGTTCTCACGTTGACATTGTGGGACATTGTGGATCTGCAGTTGTTTGAAGAGAAGACCCCCCTCCTTCCCAGCGCTTTCCCACCCTGTTTGTCAGAGGCTCCACACCTGTCTCCTGCCATGCATGGCAGAGAAACTCCTTTCAAACTCTGATGAGGAGAGTGTGGCCTGAAGTCCCCACAACATGTCTTACTCTGTTCTCTTGGGGTATTGTCACGGACAGAGACAGAGGCTAGGAACAAGGGATGTGGGAGCAACTGGGTTCTTTCAAAGCAGGGAACCTGGCTGATGCTCTCATGTGCCACATAGTGAGACAGGCCAGACAGAGTCCACATTGCTCTAGTCACCTGTTCCTCTTCTTTATCCTTGGAGAGGCTCGCCATCAGCCATGTACTCACCCATCCAACAGTCATTCATCTACCCATCCATCCACCCACCCATCCACCCACCCTCCCACCCACCCATCCATCCGTCCATCCACTCACCCATCCATCCACCTACCCACCCATCCACCCACCCATCCATCCATTCATCCATCCATCCACCCACCCATCCACCCACCCATCCACCCATCTACCCACCTACCCATCCGTCCGTCCATCCATAGGTGAGGCTCAGCTCACTTCCGTCTGCAGCTCCCACTTACCTCTTCCGTTCAGAGGGAATGAGCCCTCTGATAGCAGGGTTGGGTGGCCTTGGCCTCCTAGCCTTCATTTGTCTGGCCTCTGTCGCAGCCACACTCTTGACGCCCACTTCTGCCCTGGAGCTGCTGCTCCGTCTGCTTGGCCCCTCCCTCACTGCTTCCTTCCCTTGGTAACTGCCCCAGTGATCCAGTCATGTGAAGCACAGGCTCTCCCTCTGGTGGCTCTGAGCTGGGCTTGGCTTTATACCCTTTCACATGGTGAAACTGGCTTGGGACTCAGGTCCCTTCCTGCAGCTCCTGGCCTTGCCCCTGGACAGTCACATCACCTTAGATAACTACCAGGGACACATCCCAGGCCTACATGCTTCTGAGACCCCGTTCCCTTTGCTGATATCATATTGGCAAAGTCATCGCATGGGTGATGTGTCATGGGGGCCACGTGTTATCACCCCTGACTGTTGCGTCCACGGATCTGCAAATACAAGCTGCGGGTGAGCATGTGTCACGTGTTTCTTCGTACTCGGATGAGCTCATGATGACTCCCTCTTCACACATGTTACCCAGCAGCATTTGGAAATCATTCCATATAAATTCATAAAAATAACTCGTCTCTTTAAAACCTCTGGTTGTATTCTCCCATGTGCCGTGCATGTTCAGCATCTCCAGGCAGAGGGACAGAGGGCAGCTGCTGTTATTGCCAGCTTTCAGAGAGCATCAGCAGGTCTTAGTGTGCACGTGTCCCACATGAGGGGATCTACTTCGGCTGCAAAGCTCTTTTTTTTTTTTTTTTTTTTTTTTTAGTGAATTCAGCTGGCACAGGATGCCCTGCCCGCCCACCCCTGAGACTCTGGAGTTCTTTCCTGCTGGGAGTAGGGGATCGTGTACCAGCACCGTCAGGGCTGGTGCCTCTCTGGAGAAACTGAGGCAGGAGTTGGGTGCTATGTTGGGAGGGTGCGGAACAGAAGGGGCCTCAGCCAGGCTCCTCTTCCGTCCCACCCAGCGGAAGCTGTCCCCATGGTGCAGGGCTGGTGGGCTGTGGAATAAAAGTCTAGAAATGGCGCCAAGGATGAAAACAGAATATGCATCAATTTTCTTATTTAATCGAGAGTAGGTCTTGCTGACACATGGCTACAATCCCAGCACTTGGAAGTGAAGGCAGGAGAATCAAGAGTCATACCTGGTTACAGAGTGCATTCCAGGCCAGCCAGGGCTACACAAGCTCCCCAAACAACCGATGTAAATAAATAACATAAAATTACAAAGTAATCTGGGTGTGGTGGTGCCTACATTGTCCCAGCACTTAGGGAATGGGGAAGCTGCAGAATCTCCTGAGCCCAGGAGTTTGGGGCTAGCCTCTACAACAGGCAGGATGCCAAAATAAATTAATGAAAGAAACAAATCAGCGACAGGCTGGGAGCTGCCTTGGTGGATAGTTAGGAGCCCTTCCTGCTCCTGCTTCCTGCACTTGGTTCCCAGCTCCCAAGGCTGCTTGGCTCCCGCCTGCCCATAACTCCAGCTCCTGGGTGCCTGGTACCCTGAAGCCTCACATACACATACCCACACGCGTCCTCTTCTAGCTACACTCTGCCCCGAGTGCTGGGATGACAGGTGCGCACTCCCGTTCTGGCTTCCTTTCCAGCTTGGAAGCTAGGTGGTGGACATGTTAAAGGTTCCTCTTTGGTCTTCCTCCTATGTTCCTCTGACTGTGTGTTCCTTTCCACAAAGATGTTTGTATAGTTTATAAAGTTTCTTTTTCTTTTGCGGCAGGGTGTTTGTACCCCAAGTTGGCCTCAGACCCCCTTTATAGCCAAAGGTGACTTTCATTTTCTGATCACCCCCCTCCTCCTCCACCCTAGTGTTCAGAAGGCAGGTGTGTGCCTCCACACCAGATTTATGGGATACAGCCCAGGGCCTAATGCATGCTGGGTAAGAGCTCTGCTAACTGAACTAGCTTTCTGCCCTACGAGGCTTCTATGGAGGGCAGATGACTGAAGTGCATCTTTGGCAACCAGATGGTCTGTCTGGATCGTCTCCCAACCGTATGAGTGGCGACTAGACTCATTGAACGTGCATGCCACCATCCAATGTCACAGCTTGGACACTGAAACTGAGTATTGGGATTGGGCCTGGGTGGGGCTCAATACTAGGTGGGAGAGGGAACATCCAGGACATCGAGTGTAAAGGTCCTGGGGCAGTGACTGTACCTGTCAGGGAAGGAGAAGAGCCCTGATGCCTAGAGACAAAGTGCGGACAGCTCCTGGGCTCTGACTGACCCCTCCCCCCCTCTCTCTCCAGTACATGGGTTGCATTGAGGTGCTCCGGTCCATGCGTTCCCTGGATTTCAACACCCGAACACAGGTGACGAGGTGAGGCCTCGGGATGGGGCTGGGAGCCTGGGTCTCAGGTGGCCTGGCCGTCGTGAGGCCTCTTGAGGTTGGCATGGTGACCTAAAGACAGAGGGCGGACTGGGCTCAACATGGACCTACTTCAGGTCTGTCCCTGATTGCTGTGCTTGGCTGTCATGCACAGTCCCCAGACTCGGCTTCCCTTTAGCCTGCTATAGTGGGTGTGATTTCAGGAGGGCGAGAGGAAGAGCTTTGTTTATTCCATGAATTTAAAACCCAGGACACAAAGCCAGGTGTGTTTGCTCACACCTGGAATCCCAGCATTTGGGAGCCAGAGGCAGGGGGTTAGCCATGACTGGGCTAGCCTAGGCTATAGATTGTCCCAACAAACAAACAAAAACAGTAGATTTATGGCCCCAAACATTCCACCCCTGTCCACTGCAATTCTTTGCTTTAACATATCTCTGCATAGTATTTTATAGTCACCTGATCTGAACATTGGATCTAAAACATTCCAGCACCCTAAAAGGAAGTCCTGTTCTCATGAGCAGTTATCCACCCTCCAGCCTACCCAGCACCTACAAATCCACTTCCTGTCTCTGGGCATTTCTTATCATGAAGTCCCACTCTGTGGCCTTGTGTTTTAGCCACTCTTTGTGCTGTTGTGATAAAACCCTGACAAAAGCAATTCAAGGGAGACAGGGTTTGTTCAGCTCATTCAGTGTATCATAGGAAGGCAGAAGCTCGAGGAGTCTGCTCTTAATAAATATGTAATAAATAAATAATACAATTAAATCTGCTCAAGTGATCACATTCATAATAATGAACACACAGAGAGATGAATCACTGTGAACATGTTTATGCCCAGTTTGCTTTGTCTACTCTTACACAGTCTAGGTTCCCCTGCCTAGGGGACGGTACCACCAACAGTGGACAGCCCTCCCTACCTCAACGTATCAAAACAATCCCACACAGACATCCTCTGAGGCCCACCCCTGAGGTGATTCTGTATTTTGTCACATTGACAGTTAACACTAACCACAATGTCTCACTGATTACTTACGGTCTGTTCATGTTGTGGTGTATGTCCGACCATTGTTCCTATTCAGGGCTGAGATACCCCAGTGGGTGGATGGACCATACTGTATGTCCAGTCACCCATGCTGGACACTGAGTCCTATCTCTGCTGCCAGCCAGGTTTATAATAATTTGCATCACCCTGTCCTCACTTGGTACGGCCTCTAACTTGCTACGTATCTCAGGCTAGCTTTGAATTTATGACCTTCTTGTCTCTGCCTCATGAGCACAGTGATAGCCTTGTCTGGCTCCCCATTGCTTGTCTCTTAGCACTGGGCCTGCTGTTTCTAAGTAGGGTCTCATTCTCCCACAGGGAAGCCATCAATCGGCTGCAGGAGGCTGTGCCAGGTGTCAGAGGCTCCTGGAAGAAGAAGGTAGGTGTGGGCTCGGCTCCTGCTGAGCTGGTATGTGTCTTGGGAGGCTGAGGGGAACACTGGCTACCCAGAGCCCCTCCGGTCCCAGGCACCTGATGCAGGTGACTCACTGTCCCTTCCCAGGCCCCCAACAAGGCGCTGGCCTCCATCTTGGGGAAGAGCAACCTGCGCTTTGCCGGCATGAGCATCTCAGTTAACATCTCCGTGGACGGCCTTAACTTGTCTGTTCCCGCCACTCGCCAGGTGGGAGCCGCTAGCCTCCATCCTGCACACCAGCCTGCAGCAGCTCTGGTACCCTCACCTACAATCCACCTTTGCCCAGCCCACAACCCTGCCATCTACCCTGTCCACATCTGGATCTTGGCTCCATGCACAGCCCTACAATCCTGCAAGCCCCAAAGCCAGCAATAGCCATTTCAGTCCTGCACTTTACTACGACAGGGTTTCTCTGTGTAGCGCTGGCTGTCCTGAAACTCACTCTGTAGACCAGGCTGGTCTCGAACCCAAGAGCTCCACCGGTTTCTGTCTCCAGAGTACTGGGATTAAAGGTGTGCGCTACCACCGCCCGGCTTCAGTCCTATACTTATGTCCCTATATGTAGGCCCTTCTACAGCCCTACCCTCAACATTGTCACCTGGACCCGCCCTCAGCCCCAGCCAACCTCAAAGCCCTCAGTCACACCTGCTCAGCAGGCCTCACCTAGATCTGCAGAATCCTTACAATGTCCAGAAATATCTGGTGCCTACTGAGGTGGAGCCAGGGTGTGGGAGTCGCTGAGTACACAGTCCCCAGTATCTGGAATCTGAGTGCTCTGCTTGCCTTTATCCAGGGCAATGCCACCACTGGGGCAGATCTGTCCACAGTGGTTCAGAAGTTTACCTGGGCTGGAGTGGGTTGCAACCAGGGCCTGGGCTTCCCCTGGATATGGAGATGAGAGGGATGCTGGGCTGGCCCCTTGAGGAGAGGCATCTTCTATGGGAAGGACAGCAAGAACCTGGGAGATGATTTTGGGGTCCATCCCTAGAGTAGAGACAATGGCATTGTAGTCTCTGCCAGGCACTGAAGGGACAATGCCAGGGCCAGCTGAGCAGTTGTCCTGGCAAGAGGGGCCATGGGCAGGTCTCATGGGGAAGGGATTTGGGGAAGGGCAGAGCTGAGGGGTAGAGTGGGCAGCCCCTGCTGAGGGGTTTACTGTGGGGGACACACAGCTATGATGGCTGTAGGAAGACTTTGACCCCAACAATAGCCAGTACCCTGATTCTATCCACCAATCCCAAAGCCCAGCTTTTTTTTTTTTGGTTTTTCAAGACAGGCTTTCTCTGTGTAGCCCTGGCTGTCCTGGAACTCACTCTGTAGACCAGGCTAGCCTCGAACTCTCAAACTCAGAAATCCACCTGCCTCTGCCTCCCAAGTGCTGGGATTAAAGGCGTGCGCCACCAGCGCCCGGCCCCAAAGCCCAGCTTTTAATTCTGGTTTAATTCTGGTTCCCTTAACTCTAGTCTCCACCTCAACCCTACGTCTTTGTTTGGAGGTAAAGTCTTACCATGTAGGTCCTGCCTGGCCTGTAACACTACTTGCCTCTGCTGAGATTAAAGGCATGGGCCACCATGCTTGTGTTTAACCTGGCTTCTAACACTAACCTCAACCCTTAACCTGGGTCAGGCCTGGCTTTCTTCTATGTGGGCACAGATTCTCACTTTGCCCTGGTTGATCTGAGATTCAAGGAAGTCTGGGCTGGAACTGTATCAGCTGCACAGTGCATATGTGGCTATAAACAGTGGCCCCGACAGTACTACAGTGAGGGGTCCTTCAGTTCATGCCTCGGATGCACCTGGCAGTGCTGGTATAGGCACATGCCTAGGGCAGTAGGCATCTCACATCAGACACGAGGCAGGGCTGGCCTCACATCGGAGCTGACTGGGGCTCAGATGTAGTGTTGGGTGGGGTGCCCTGCGAATGTTGGGCAGGGTGCCCTGGGCAGGGAAGGCCTTTTTCAAGCAGCTCAGCTGGAAGTGAGTCTCCCCCTGCCTCAGCTCCAGAATCCAGCTGGCTAGTGAGTCAGGGGGTCTAGAAGGTTTGGGGAGGACTCTGTCCCACCAAAGACTGGGAGTCTACCATACAGAAGGGGCTCCCAAACCTGCTGCTGATATTAGTGGAGAAGGGAGACCACTCTTGACGCCAGCCTAGGGATAGGGTGAACAAGGGGTCCAGGGCCTAGAGCAGAGGCCTCAGTCTGATACCCAAGCTTCCCAACTGGTGGGAAGGACATTGCTGTTTCTGCTCATCCTGAGCCCAGGGCCCAGGGAAGTGGACTCACCAAGAGCGCAGGCTCAGCTTCCTGAGACAGTGAGCTTTGTTATTTTGAATCTTAGGACCTCCTTCTTCCTCCCCCCTCCCTCTTCCCCATTCCTCCCTCTTCCTCCCTCCTCCCTCTTCCCCATTCCTCTCTCCTCCCCACTCCTCCCTCCTTCCCACTCTTCCCTTCTCCCTATTCCCTCCTCCCTTCTCCATACTCATGGGGGATTGAGATGCAGGTGGGACTTTCAGGCCTTAGCTATGTTAGACAGAGAGAGGACATGCCTCTCTCCCTCGTGCATCTCTCTTGTGGCTGTGGCTCACCTGCCAGCGCTCTCGGTGACTGAGTGTGAGCACGTCTGCCTCCCTGTCCTCACAGGTTATCGCCAACCATCATATGCAGTCTATTTCCTTTGCCTCGGGTGGCGACACGGTAAGATGGGATGGGTGGACCTCTGTGCCCCATGTCCCTGCAGCCTTCCCAGGCCCCACCTCCTGGGTCCTCTGCCCCCCAGGGAGCTGAACCCTGTTAGCTTCTCCTACCGGTCTCTCTAGGACATGACTGATTATGTGGCCTATGTGGCCAAGGACCCCATCAACCAGAGAGGTGAGCTGGATTGTGGAGGGGGTGCAGGGGCCTGGGCCTGGAGCAGGCTGTGCTGGAGGGTCACAGGGACTGTGACATTGTGACTTCCCCAGCCTGCCACATCTTGGAATGCTGTGAGGGTCTTGCCCAGAGCGTCATCAGCACCGTAGGGCAAGCCTTTGAGCTGCGTTTCAAGCAATACCTGCACAGTCCACCCAAGGCTGTAATGCCCCCTGAAAGGTAAAGAGACCCTAGGTTTCCTGGGCCAGGCTGCTAGCTGGATCCTGCAAAGACAGGCTGGGTCTGCCTTCTGTTGCCCAGTCCCGTGTGTACCTCCATTTCCGTTTATTTCATCTAGACCAAGGGCTGGCAGGTGTCAGCCCCCTTGTGCTCTTGAGGGAGAGTGGGATGTCTTATGTTTGGGGCCCTGCCTGCTGCTTTCTGACACTGGGTCTACTGTACAGCTGTTGGTAGTTGTGCAATATTCTGGTCGGACAGGGCACCACTTCCCAACCCATAGGTCATGGTTACTGTCACCAGTGTTACCTGGGGAAGGCCTGGCTGACAGGCCGGGGAGGGGTTGGGAAGGGAGGGCACAGTGCTCTCACGTAGATGCTCTGTGCCCCCAGACTGACTGGGCTGGAGGAGTCGGCCTGGGGAGAGGACGAGGCTGCTGCAGACCACAATTACTACAACAGCATTCCAGGAAAGGAGCCGCCCCTGGGCGGGCTGGTGGACTCCAGACTGGCTGTCACACAGCCCTGTGCGCTGGCAACACTTGGGGGCCTTGGACAGGTCAGCCTTCCGAGGGGCCAGAAGGGACATGGAGCTGTCATTGGGGTGGGTGGGAAGTGGGCCTGGGGCATATCAGGGCCATCACGCCTCTCTTGCAGGGAATGTCACCGGCATGCAGAGATGTCCGTGGCTTGCCTTGGGACGTGGGCCCCACTGGAGCAGGTAGGGAGTTCTAACCTCACAGAGTCTGCCCCTGCACCCACATGTCCCTCCCGGCATGTAACCGTGCCCTGTAGGCCGCGTGCTCCCAGCTCTCCCCTCCCCTTAACCCTCTTCATCGCCTCCCGTGATGAGGTCATGGCAGTTGGGGATGTATTGACTAGTGGCTGGTTACTCTGGAACTTCCCAGAATCCTCTGTGAACACCTGAGCACTTCGATGATGAATCATTTCCTGGTATGTCCACATGGGGGCACACACAGTTGACACTTGATGTTTTGTCCAAGTGTCTTACCGTTTCATGACTGTATAGTCCTCCTCCTCACAAGACAATGTGACTTCTCTCTGATGTGAGGACTGTACACAAAGCCTGGTGGATGGGGCCTGACAGGGATCCCTGTGACCTGACAGCGATGCCTCCGTGCCTTAGTAGCCTTCCCTCCCAGGGCTGTGGATTTGGCTGGGCCCTTCCTCAGCACCACAGGTCAGAATTCACAGAGATCTCAGGGCTTCTCAGGCTCTCTCACTCTCAGTCAGAATTTTTTTTTTTCCGATAGGATCTCATGTAGCCCTGGCTGGCCTTGAGCATTCTGCCTGCCTCTGGGTTCGCACTTAGTTGCCATCAGTGTTTTATGGTTAAGCTTCTACTCTCCCAGTTTTACAGAGGCTATGTGACATGTCTGGGCTCTTGGAGGCCAGAGCCATGGTGTCCTCAGGATTAGGGAAAGGTGAGTGGTAAGGCGGGGCTCACAATGACCCGGAAAGCTTGGTCACGGCTAAGACCTTCCAGTCCTGACTTCCTGCCTGAGGTTCTGAGAAGTACCTGGAACATCCCTGGGCTCTGAAAAATCTGCCCAGTGGAGCTTAGATGGGAGAAATGAAAGTCAGGTTGTTCATACGGTTGGCATAACCCCCAGGGACCCCGCGGGTGAGGCTGAGGGGACAGGATATCAGGCTATCCCTGGGTGGATGAAGATCCATGTAGGACCTGGCGGGGCATGAACAGCCGTCAGGAGACTGAGAGCTATTCAGAGTAAGCACAAGGAAGAAAAGACAGCAAGCACAAAGATGTGATTGCTGTCACTGAGCTAAAGGCTGAGCAGGGTCCAGAGTCCCAATAATGGGAGACAGACAGAAGGCTCTCTGGAGCTCATTGGCTCTTAATGAGTTTCGGGTTCAGTGACACACACACACGCACAGGCACATGCACACACACACACACACACACACACACACACACACACACACACGGAATGAGGAAGAGGCCTCCGATTTTAAAATAGGAGTAACCAGCCTGGTGGCAGGTGACCCAGTAGCCTGAGGCACTATTGTTATTATTTAAACAGAGGGTCAATGCGAGCATCCAGCCCTCTGGAGCCTGAGCTCCCACCCACTCCCCCTTGGCCAGAGAGCTGCCCTCTTGTGGGTGATTTGAGCTGTGGCATATCTTGGCTCTGGCTCAAACTTGCGTACGTGGCCAGCCTCTGTCCCCAGCTGGAGCACCGTGTGGCTCTTGATTCATGCAGTGACACTGAGGGCATGCCTGCTCACTCCTGCCTCCCTCTGGGTCTTGTTTGACTTCTTGTCCTCGCTCCCCCCTGCACCCAAGTCCTTTGGGTTTCTGCCTGACCCGCCACCATCTGTCCTCTCTAGTTCCGCCTGGGGATGGCTACGTGCAGGCAGATGCTCGGGGACCACAGGACTATGAGGAGCATCTATATGTCAACACCCAGGGCCTGGACGCGATGGAGCTTGAGGATACCTCTGGGACACCGCTACAGCTTGAGGGCAGCCCCAAGAAGGACCTGTTTGACATGCGTGCGTGGCCCGTCCCCATCTGACCTGGGATTGCATGGGGGAAGGTCCTTGGGAATCCAAAGGGTGGAGGGGCTCAGACTGTGAACCTCAGTTAACTAGAGACAGATTTCCGGTGCCATGCCTAAGCTAGTATCTGGGCAGCCTGGCTTCTGCCATGGGCTCAGGGAAGAGCCTCAGTGACCTCCTGTCAGCAGGGCCTGCCTGTTCCCATGTAGTTGACCAGGAGATCCTACGTTGTTTTAATCTCAACTCAGGGTCTCATGTGGGTGTGGGAGAGCTGGTCTACCTTTTTCCTCTGGTTGCCCCAGCCTGGATGGCAGCCCAGTCACTAGAGAACTCCATCCTGCTGGAGAACTGGTATGTTCTCAGTCTGGTGGCCAGGCAAATCTGTCCTTCCAGAAAGGTTTGCAACATTCCTCATGGCTGTGTCAGTTCTACCCCCCCTTCCCAGGACACTGTGGAGCTGACTCCCCCAGGGCCTCCCAGGTGGCTAGAAATTTCTTATGCTAGATCTTTGCAGAGTTGATCCCTTGTTACCATCATTTCTTCTGTCCATGTATGTGAGCATTTGGGGGCTAGAAAGTAGCCTTGACTGTTGCTACTTAGTGCTAATCACCTTGTCGTTTGAGCCAGGGTCTTTTGGTAGCTTCGGTTTTACCAACTGGGCTAGGTTGGCTGCCCTTCGAGCCCCAGGGTTCTTCCTGTCCCCACTTCCTCGGTGTTGGAGTTACCAGGACACACCATTGTGCCAGCTTTTTACATGGGTGGTGGGAATCAAACTTGGGTCCTTCTGCTTGGACCGCAGGGACTTTACTGAGCCATCTCCCCAGACTTGGGCCACCATATTCCTTCTTAGCATTACAACTGTGGTGTGAGACAACACCTACTGAGTGTCTACTGTGTACTGTGGCAGTGGTTGCTGAGAGTGGGCTCCTCACAGTGGGAAAGCAGGTTGGGCTGAGCTGCCAGCAGAGGCAGCTGGCCCCTGAGTTACAGCTATCTGACTGACTTCCTGGGGAAGGTGGGTTCCCAGTTAGCTTTTGGCAGGGGAAACAGCGGGGTTATAGTCAGGCTCCTGTGTCAGGCATTTGGGGGTCGATTTGTGTCACTTTCTGCCTCTTCCTGGTCCCTTGAGGGTCCTGGGGCTGGGAGACATCACCTGACCTAGAACAGTGACAGCTCCACAGAGGTCTGGATGTGAGGCAACCTCTCCTTACTAACAGTCAGCCAATGACATGGGTGTAGTCTGCAGTGAGGCACATGTGGGATAGAGGCCAGTGCAAAGGGGGTGGGGGAATCCTGATCAATAATGGGGGGAAGGGAGTGTAGGTATGCCTCAGTTTCCCCTGAAAAAAGCTTTGACAGTGAGTGGAACCAGTAGACCTTGATGATGAGCTTGGGTTGCAGAGGCTGTGCCAGGTTGGGTCTAGGAAGTCCTAGGGCCCGGCTTGCGCTGAACACCGTTCATTCTGGCTAAGTGAGAGAAGGAGGAAGACAGAATTTAAGGCTAGTCTTAGCAAGTTTGTGAAACCTTGTTAAAAGTAAAACAAGGACTGGGTGCGTGGTCAGGGGTGAAGCCCTGCCTAAAATCCCCTAGGGAGAGGCTGGGTTTGTGGCTCTGTAGTGTGTCTACCTGGCAAGCATGATGGCCTGGGTTCTGTCCCAGCAACAGAAAAAAATGACCCACAGGACCCTTTGAAGATGCCCTGAAGTTGCACGAGTGCTCAATGGCAGCAGGTATCACTGCAGCTCCACTCCCTTTGGGGGACCAGTGGCCCAGCCCCCCTACCCGCAGGGCCCCCATTGCACCCACAGAGGAGCAGTTGAGGCAGGAGCCCTGGTATCATGGACGAATGAGCCGGCGGGCTGCAGAGAAGCTGCTTCGTGCTGATGGGGACTTCCTTGTGAGAGACAGCATCACCAACCCTGGGCAGTATGTCCTCACAGGCATGCACGCGGGGCAGCCCAAGCACCTGCTGCTGGTAGACCCTGAGGGAGTGGTAAGCTGGCACTTTGAGCTTCAGGGTTGGGGCGGTGGTTTTAGATAATGGATCCTTTACTAGGGAAGTGGTGGTTGCTTGTCAAAACATCTTTCAGTTAAAAAAGAATGTTTTATTCAAGGGTGCTGACTCATACCTGTCTTCCTAGCACTTAGAAAGCTGAGGCAGGAGGATTGCTATAAGTTTGAGGCTAGCCTGGAACTTCAGGGTGAGAACATTGTCTAAAAAAGATATTAAAATCTTTTGAAGGAACTTCTACTTTGTAAAGCATTTTGGGGTTCGCAGAAGCATGGCCACCCCTCCAGCCCCTCAGAGTTCCCACCCGAGGGGCTGGCTCCTCACGGTGCAGTATGGCTGTTGGGATGTGTTTATCTGGATCTCTAAGTAAGTTCTTAAGCCAGGGCCTTTCCAGAGACAGTCCCCACTACTCCCTTAGTCAGATTCTTACACGTAGCCCCGTCTGGCATGAAACTTGCTCTGTAGACCTGGCTTTGAACTCAGATTTCCTCCTGACTCTGCCTTCTGAGGGCTGGGACTAAAGGTGTGTGCCACCACGTCTGGCTCTGTTCATTTTTCTCTTTTCATATGTTTTATTATTGTTATTATCTTATGCATATGGGTGTGTACCACCTGTATGCTGCACCCTCAGAGGACTGGAAGTTACACATGGTTATGAACTCCCATGCGGGTGCTGGAAATTGAACCCCTGACCTCTGTAGGAGCAGCCGGTGCTCCTGACTGCAGTCACCTCCAGCCCTCATCTAGCTACTTATTTGTTTTAAACCGCCTACTGCCTCTTGAATCTTGAACGGTTGCATGGCTGAACTTGGGTTTCTTCCTCCCTGTTCCTTGGGCACAGGTGTTCCTTATGGGAATTGGGGGTTCAAGCTCAGGTCTCCATGCTTGTACAGCAGGTGCTTTCCTGCCTCAGCCCCTCCTGAACCCTGTGATCATGGGGATCTGGGAACACTGGGCCTCTGGTTCTGGAGTCTTGGGGCTGGTTCTGGTGGAGTCCTCTCCTCCAACAAGGTCCTATCTGGCAGGTCTGAGCTGGCGGGTGTGGTCTGTGGGATGTGCTCAGGGGTGCGTGCTGAAGTGTCTGTCTACAGGTGCGGACAAAAGATGTGTTGTTTGAGAGCATCAGCCACCTCATAGAGTATCACCTGAAGAACGGGCTGCCCATCGTGGCTGCTGAGAGCGAGCTGCTTCTGCGGGGCGTGGTCTCTAGGGAGCCATGAGCCAGGTTTGTAGTAGCTGGCTGCATCAGCCAGCTACGTCTGCCATCTACAGGCTTCCTGTGTTTAATTCACCCATTCTGTGCATCGCTATGTTGTGCAGCCATCACAACAGCTAATTGCCGAACATTTTATCATCCCAAAGCAAGCCCAGCCTCTAGAAGCAGCTACCCCAACCTTTAAGACTTGTTGATTGAAGTTGTCTGAATCTGGCTGGCCCCACTCTGTGCTATCTGGTGGAGGTGGCTTTGGTTTAGCCTTGGGCTGAATGTTGGTGCTGAGGGGACAGAGGGTTGACTGAGGAGGGAAAGCAGAACTGGTGAGCTCAGGGTGTCTGGGCAGAGCAGGAGGAGGGAGACAGCGGTGGTTGGGGAGGGCAGAGGCAGCAGCTGGATGTGGGGGCTGGGTTGGGGGGAAGTAGGGGGGCGCTATGGAATTTTCCCGGAGCTGCTGGCCAGGTCAAGCTGTTCTTCATCCCCATGACAACGCCTCCTTCCTGTCCTCTTCTGGATTCCTCCTGCTTGGGGGCCAGGGCTGCAAGCAGGGCTGCTCTGTGCATGGAAGATGTGGGCCCATGGACCTCTCAGATGCCTCTCTGCACAGTGCTGGGCCCAGTGTGTGTCACTCAGGCAGAGCTTCTGTTCTAGCCTCAAAGGAGTTGTGATCCTAGAAGTGGACCTCAGGGTCACTGTGGTATCAATGCATGTCTCTTAGACCACACAGTTCTGAGGCTGGCACTGAGGCTAGCATCTTTGCCTGCACAGAGAGGTTAAGATGTTGCCCTGGGGCACACAGCAGCAGCTTAGCCCCAGGCCAATGGTAGCTGAGTGCCCATGACTGCTGAGGCCCTTTCAGTTCAGTGGTCACTGATGTGGCTGTTGTTATGGTCACCTTGACTTCACCTCTTTCTGCCCACAGGTGACAGTCCTCAGCCCAACTTCTACCCCCAGAAGCCCTTGCTGTGGCCTTGAGGGCTCAGCCTTTCTCTCAGACCCTGAAGCCACGAGAACCAGAATGGTCACCACCTCTCCTTCTGCATGAGCCTCAGGAAGCTGCCTTTTCCCAGCTGTGCTCGCTTGCTCTGCTGGCTGGGCCAGTGAGACAGAGTCGGGGTTCAAGCCCCTGGTACCACCTGAGCCCCAACCCTGAACTTGGGTGAGGCTCTATAAACCAAAGACAGACCAAATCGCCTTTAACAAAGACATCCAAATGCAGGCCCCGTGCCTCTGGTCTCCAGTGGGGGTAGAGACATCAGGCTGTGTCCACAGAGTTGGTGTGGACAGCTCAGTGTAGGCAGATGCACTGTTACTTTTGGGGATGATTAAGGTGCTTTCGGGTCTCAGATCCCCAATGGGGGAGCAGCCTGTGCTTTGGATGCTCTACATCCAGGTTTGTGAGAGGCAGAGGCGCCTCAGGGAGGTGTGGTACCCACTCGGCACCTCCCAGCTGCCACCTGCCTGGACCTTCAACTGTAATTAAACAGGGCTGAGCGTGAGCCTGCTGTGTCTGCTGTGCCTGCTAAGGATTCCCAGATGGACAGCGGGGAAGCTGTGTGCAGCCCCAGGGCTGGAGCAGACAGTGGGTGAGGTGGGCCTGTGGGTTCTGACCTCCCGGGGCACCCCACCCCCTGTACCCCAACAGTGAACAAGCCTCTGGTTTTTTACTCCAAGATAAATTGGCCTCTCTCTCTGTTTGGTGTTTCCCCAGCCCCTTCTTGAAAAAACTGTGGCTTAGTTCCTAGGGGCCCCACCTGGCGATTCCTGCATACAGGGCCCACTGAGGGTGATGACTGGGCTCCTCTGTGTGGTTCCGGAGTACCTGCCAGGGATGGCATGGTGGTAAAAGCTTCCTTATGCCCCAAACATGAGACACCATTAAAGTCAGAGTTACAGGTCACTTTGATGCCCTCTTCCTCCAAATACAGAAAGAACAAGTCCCATCCCACCTTCCCATGCCCTACTGAAGTGGAAACTTACATGGTTTCTTTAGAAAGTCAGTTGTGTCGGATGCTGTTGTGTTGGGACAGACATGTAAAAAAGTGAGTGTTTTTCCTGAAGCAGACACTTGCAAAGGGATGTTTTGCTAAGGCAGACATGTGAGGGAACGTTTCTGTTGAAGTAGACACAGGTGAAAGGATGTTTTGCTTAAGGTAGACACATGAAGAAATGTTTCACTAAAGCAGACACAGATTAAAAAAATGTTTTGTTAAAGCAAATGCATAAAAGGATGTATGATGTTAAAAAGGACCCAACAGATGGTGGACGATGCTAGATGATATTGGTATACCTTGTCATTCTTTGCAATGGTCATGTTTGTCGTGACACACACACGCACACACACACACACTAAAAAACTTCTGGTGGTCTGGTGGCTTTTTGCTGCTTCCACAGACTCGGGCGGATTGGCAGAGTGATGTGAGCTGATACAGACTCACATGGTGAGACAAGACCCGTGGGAGGACCCGTGATGCTTGGGGAGAGTGTAAATAGGACAATGACAGAGGCTTACATAGCTAGCTTTGTAAGACATCGCTGGACTGCAGTCATAGTCTTTGCTGATTTTTACTTCATTGAGAGAGACAGCAGAAAACTTCCTGGTGTCCCTGCTGGTTCTGGTCACTCCTGGTGACTCATGTCGATTTGACTGAGGTGGACTGTTTCTGTTAGGCTATGCCACCGCTGCTGATTCGTGTTTGCTATCCTGATACTGCTGAACTGGGCGGCTGGTATATATCCTGACAACACAGATGGGATTTGCTCTAAAGAACTATTTCTAAACAGGTCCACATCCCCCGTATCCCTAATAACATTTCTTTTCCACTACCTTTGGTGAGTGGTAGGCTAGAAGAGAGGTTAAAACATTTAAGAACACTTATTAAAAATAGGTTTTAAAGGGGGCTCAGTGGTTAAGAGCACTGACTGCTCTTCCAGAGGTCCTGAGTTCAATTCCCAGCAACCACATGGTGGCTCACAGCCATCTGTAATGGGATCCAACGGCCTTTCTGGTAAGTCTGAAGACAGCTACAGTGTACTCATATACATTAAATAAATTAATAAATAAATGTTTAAAAAACAGGCTTTTAAAAAAATTAAAGCCTACACTACCTACACTATCAATCTCATAACTTATTCATCCACACTTGTCTTCCTACCCAGCCACTCATATGCCCTCCTTCCCTCCCTCCCTCCCTCCATCCATCCACCCACACATCCATCCACCCATCCATCCATCCACCCATCCACCCATCCATCCATCCACCCACCCACCCACCCACCCACCCATCCATCCATCCATCCACCCACCCATCCATCCA